CGCGCGTGCAGTCCTACCTGAATCGCAGCGATTTGGAGAGCTGAGCTATCCGAGCTCTGCGGAGGAGAGAGGACGAACCATCCATCAGGAGTCAGAGCTCAGAGCTGACTGAGAGCGAGGCTGCGTGTGTGTGTGTGTGTGTGAGTGTGTGTGTGTGTGTGTGAGTGTGTGTGTGATACACTAGCAAATTTAAGTGGAACTCAACCTTGGAAAGCCAACTTACCAAAGATTAACTTTGACAGGGCAAAGCGGAATTTGGTGAGCGAGAATCCGGATTTGGTCAAACAAAATTGTCCCACTTTGACCACAAAACTCAAAGCTTTGCCTCTTTTCTCCCTCAGTACACTCATCCAACCCTGTGAGATGTTTTTTGGCAGTTCTGTTGTAGCAATAAGAAAAAAGTTGATTGGATGAATGAATATAATTTGTTAATTTAAAAAAAAATAATAAAAAGGTCAGGCCTTGAATTTTCTCCATAAGCACAGAGCAAACCTGTCGCACTGAACATTTTGATCTTGTGCCGCACAGTAGAGGAATGTTTGTGAGAGGACTGTTTGCTTCCTGGAAGTTTGTAACAGCTATTTTCCATTGCTGAGTGTCTGTTATGCATCTATGATTTGTCTGTTTGCACAGCTTCCTGTCTGATCCCACTAAAATTGTGTGTTGCTGTGTTTGTAGATGAAACTGATGCAGCAAAGTAAAGTAAAGGCTGAAATACAGTCTTTGACAGCTATAGCTCCTGACTTCCTCACACAAATCTACCTGCCCAACAAGCTGCGCTATGGAGGCTGGATATGAGCTCAATGCTGCCACTTAGTGGATGAGTAAGTGAACTGCTAAAGTTGCTTTGAAGCCTGAAGAGTGGTATTAGACGTAAATTGTCAGACAAATTAAAGTATTAACTTCAGTTTGTTAGTTTGTAGTGTTTGGATATTTATTCACCTTTCTTTGTGTATATTGGATGCAGTTGTTTGAGAAGTGTAATTAAAACCTCCGTGATCCCACTGATGAGTGTTTCCACTTTGTCTTCATTAGCATTGCTGATATTCCCAAGATGTTTGTGTGTACTTCCAAAGTGAAACCACACTGTTGTACAGTAGATTCCCCCCCCCTCCTCCAGCAAGGCTTTGCGGACATCATAGCCACTGACGTCTTTGGCTTCTGATGCAAAAACCACAAGTGTGCTCAAAACAATTTGGTGGTTTGTAATTGCAGCACAGTATCTGAGGATGTTCATTCACAAAGGCACAGCAAATCAAGTCATGCTGCTGCCCTATAATCTGCTTTCCAGCTGTTGTAGATGGTGTGCATTAAAATTCAAATCCACTCATGTCATGAGCTTCACCAGAGAAAGAAGATGTAAATAAACGTGCAGCTCTCTGCTTGACTTTGGTCAATCAGTATCACAGACACAGTACTTTTCTTTTTCTTTTTTTTTTTCTTTTTTTTTGTGAAGGATATGATTTCTTGCTGAGCGGTAGTAACGGTAGCTCTGTAAGTGGTCAATAACATTGTTATTTTTGTAACTTTCCCTCTACACCAATATAGTGACTTTTAACCATCAAGATGTGATTAAAGTGCAGACTTTAATTCATGATGTTCAAAAACGGCAATGCATTAGCTGTTTATGGATTACAGCCATCTTTTATACATAGTCCCCTGTTTTCAGGGTAATTAGAAAATTAACTGGCGAGCAGTTTCACAGCCATGCAAGGCCTGTTTGTTTTCATTATCCACTGGCAAATTAAGTAGATAAAAGGTCTGGATTTTTTTTGCAAGGGTTGAACTCTCATTTGGTAGCTGTTCACTAGAACTTAGATCAACATGTCTTTGAACCTTACTATGTGAAGGAGGCAAGCATGAAACTGAAAAAGCACAATAAAGTTAAATACAAGTAAAATGCAGGACTGGCCAATCTGATGCATTAAAAATGAATGGACTGACGAACTCCACAACAACAAAAAAGTGCCACAGAAAACAACTAAAGTGGATGACCCTGAATCATTTGCTTGGTTAAGAAAAACAGCGTCACAGTATTTTGCCAAGTGACACTAACGAGGATGTTGCCGAGCCATTGTTGATGTCTACGAGAGAGGCCTTCATGAATGTAAATAAAAATGGTTTACAACAAGGCGCAAACTACTGGCTGCACTCAAAAACAAGGCCAGAATAGATTTTACCAGAAAAAAAGACACTAAAAGAAACTGCAGTTTGGGGAAAAAAAAGTGAATAGATAAAACAAACTACGAATGATTAGAAGAGATCTGAAGCATACCATATCATACGTTTGCTGTGGTGGACACAGTTTTATGGCATGGCTCGTGATAGAATTGGGCCTACAGTGTTTATTGATGATGTGACTGCTGATAGAAGGAGCGGCATGACTTCTCAATTGTTCACGGCTTTACTCTGTTCAGATTCAGTCAAATGCTGCAAAGCTGATCACACAGACCCTCACAGTGCAAACAGATAATGATCCGAAGCATACTACAAAAGAAACCCAAAAGCTACCAAAGAAGTGTGATGTTCTTAAATGACCAAGTCAGTCACTTTATCTCAACCTAACAGAGGATGCATTTCAGTTATTGAAGACACAAAGTGAACACAGCAAGACTGCGAAACAAGCAGCAGTAAAGACCTGGCAGAGTATCTCAAGTAGAGAAACACCATTTGGTGACGTCGGTGTCTAACAGTAACTTTGTGTACATTTAGATTGGTACATAGAAGTGCGTCATATTTGCATAAACTCAAAATTATTAAGGTTATGACAAAATGAAAGAAAATATAAAAAAGAAAAATGTGAAAATTCAAGGACGACATTAATTCAAGGCACACAAAAAGTATTCACAGCCAAAATCTAGTAAAAGTGCGTTTGATTTAACAGACATAAATTGAAGCCAAAGGCAATAGCCCCACCTGCTGGCAGTACGAATCACTACACCCTTATGAGACGCGTGTTCGTCGCCGCCATATTGCAGCGGTGTTTCTGAGCAAATTCAAACTGGATGACCAGAGACGGTAACATTTTTCATGTAGGTACTTATCTTACGATATTTAACCGTCTGTGTTTTAATTTCGACAATTAGAAATAATATTTCTAGTCTGCACAGTGTTGCAGGTTTCATGAAGTGGCAAACATTATTTTCCGTTATGGTAATACATACTGTATAAATCTGGAGTATTTGTTTATATTTACAAGCGCATCTGCTGATGCAATTCTGCTGACGCATATGTGTGATTTTTACAACTGCTGATCTACGTTCAGTGCAAATAACGAGGCGATTTTGCTTGAAATGTGGAACCGCGAGACTTCCTAAAGTTTTGTGTGGTTTTTGGTGTTCGTTACAGTCACGTGTGTATGTATTCAGCTCTCTATTTCCACAAATTTAAACAAAATACTATACTACTTTACTAAAACAAGTATAGTCTTATGTTAGACCAATAGAAAAAAAGCAATTAACAAAAAATAAAGATACGCACATATTTTGTAATGAACATATTTTTAATTTGACAAAGTATCATTCATAGTGGCTACAAAGTGTTCTGTTAAACGAACCAAACAGATGAAAATATTATGAGTGCTTTAATAACACATGGAATCCTGTCTTTGGAGGCGCAGGCCATCGAGAGACAAGACTTTCCCGCACCAATATGGCTGCGTCTATGTATATGCGCTGTCGTTAAGAAATGTAAATGGCAAAATATATGAAACTCTTCTGAATATATTACACTGTTGCCTTATTTTTCGTAATTATTTTCCACGTTTTTTGTGGTGTACTATTATTTGTTCTTTAAAAAAAAAAAAAAAACGTCAGCGAACGTAACGTCCTCTGATTGGGCTGCAGGACCATCTTCCACTCGCTGAGTGACTGTTGGAGGGCGTGCTTTTGCTTTTGCCACACACACACTGTAGCTACCTAACCTGTAATGTCAGCGGCTGGATTTTGGTAGAACACCATTTTAATTCAACAGGATAAACCAGATTTTTGTAAGATCAAAGTAACTGAAAGGTGGGATAACTGGAGCTTTTATCAGTAGCTACTTTCAGCTTTAGTCAAATTTAACATTTGCCTAAATCCTAGAGCCTTTTATGGCTCTTACAATATGAAAGACCCTGCCTTGACCCTGTTTTGTGGGAAACTCCGACTGTTGCAGATATGTATCTGCATTCATCTGAACAGCTGCTTTCTTCTCTGCTTTAGATATACCAAACTGTTGCATTAGTGAAAGTGGTTCGTGAGGGGCCTTCCTTTTTCCATTTATCAAGGACAGCTGACCACAGAATGAAATTAGGCTCCTATAGTTAATCTTTACTTTATGGAATATATAAAGAGATATATATAGATAGAGAGATAGAGATATATATAGATAGATAGCGTAGTTGTTAGACTACACGCCTTTGGAGCAGAGGATCACAAGTTCGATCCTGGGGCGTCTGTATCCAGTAAGGGTCCTAAGGCTAGACCCCCTATGCTAAGCAAGCCTACCGCAGACATGAGCGAAACAGATAAATATAAAGGCATGCCGGCTCGGACGTCGCCCGGATCAACAAGGTCCGTGTCAGGTGTTGAGGAACCAGGGCACCCTGACTAGAGGTGGGCTACTGGAACAAGAAGGCATCGGTGGGCAAGAGACGAAAACAGGGCAATGACATTGGAATGTCGTTCGGTATGGTAACAAAGGTAGTCAGAACGGAGGGGATCAAACTACCAGAAGGCAACATTGCAGACATAGAGGACAGTTACAAGTACCTGGGGATCCCGCAGGCGAATGGGAACCATGAAGAGGTAAGAACAAGATCTGGGCAATCAACACCTACGCCCTGCCCGTGATCAGGTACCCTGTAATAGGCTGTCCAAAGGAGGAGTTAGAAGCCACTGACATCAAGACAAGAAAGCTGCCAGGTAAGAAAGCTCCTTTTTCGCTGTATGCTAAGGGTTTTCCGCTTAGTATACAGCACCCTGAGGCTGTATGCTACGCGGAAGGAAGGGGGCCGGGGACTGGTGAGTGTCAGCACCACAGTCCAGGATGAGACAAG